GGAGCAGGATTCTTTCGGGGGAGGATTTCAGCGAGACCAGAGCTTCAGCGGCGAGATCACAGAGCTCAATTTTTGGTCTCGTGTACTTGACGAGGGCACCGTCAGGAAGGTGAGAGAAAGCTTCATATATGTCTCACACACATTCAATTCAGTACAAGCATTCGCATATACACGTTAACAGACTCACTCACTCACTCTCTCTCTCTCTCTCTCTCTCTCTCTCTCTCTCTCTCTCTCTCTCTCTCTCTCTCTCTCTCTCCCCCCCCCCCCCCTCTCTCTCTCTCTCTCTCTCTCTCTCTCTCTCTCTCTCTCTCTCTCTCTCTCTCTCTCTCTCTCTCTCTCTCTCTCTCTCTCTCTCTCTCTCTCTCTCTCTCTTTACAAAATTATTATTGCCAACCGTCTAATGTAACCTTTTACACTGCTTGTCCTCGGGGTTAGTTTGCTTCGTGCGCGGAGGAGGAGACGGGAGACGCCCTCGCCTGGGCCTCGCAGGTCTGGGAGATCTCCGGCAAGGTCAGGTGGGTGGTCAGGCGGAAGGACGACATCTGCCGGCAACAGGAGAGGTCCTTTACCGTCTTCCCTGATCGATTCTCTCTCAGCGAAGCCTTACATTTGTGTCAGGTAATCTGCGTTATCGGAGAATGGGATTACTTGATTGCGCATTTTATCCTCATCAGAGTTGTTTTTCCTTTAGGTATTGATGAAATTTCGCCATTAGGGTAATGTAGGGCGAGATGAGACACTTAAGCAAATCTTCAACATTTGTCGAACATGAATACGTGAATATAAGAACGCTAAGCTATTACATAATGTTTCAAGTATAAGACTTATAATATCAAAATTGGAGAATTTCACTTTTTATTTTCAATAGGTATTTTGTCTCATTTTGCCCCGAATGAGGGATAAAATGAGACATACTATTCATAACTCTTAAAAATCAATATTGCTTTGAAACATTTAAAAGTATCATTGACAGGATGCTCCATAGCATCAGCAGGGGGACATGGCCTTGTGGCATCCCCCAATATTTTTTTTTTTCTTAATGTGAAAAAGCTGACTGAGGTTCATAAACTAATTAACTGTCTGGTGCGAACTAATGTGTTACAGTCCAAGAGCTTCGGGAGCTCATTCCCAGCCTCATACCTTTGCTCCCTAATATCAAATGAATTACAATGTCTATGATTTTAGATCAGTACTTTGATGTGAAATTCAACAATAAAATATAACAGTGAGAAAATTTAAAAGATAACAGTAAGATTTGCAAAAGATAACAGAACTAGCAACCCTAGAAATAACTTACATTCAGCATAAGTCACATATCTGTCCCTCTGCGCCTTTCCTGGAGCATGCTTCATGAACCCATCAAAACTTCTGGCTGCTTTTCTCAATGACAAAGTTTTGCTTCTCACTGATTTCATGGCCACGTTCATATTCTCTTCACTCCAGCTTGCTAAGTTTTTCTTTGATAATCACGGACCATCTGAAATAACAATTATTATAAATATATCCAATATCCCTACAGAAACGCTAAGTAAAAGCAAACAATTTACCATGAAATAAGAAAGTCAGCAAGACTGGGTAAATTCAGGCCACTTGCTTGGCTGCTGTCGCATTTTGCCCCATCTTCATCACAGAAGAAAGAAAGGTTGCAGCTCATTTAGCTTGCATCATTTGCAAAAACAACGTAAAAATTGACCGTACCTAGGGTATCCACTATAAATAGCCTGACCCCTGCAGGTGGTTGGTGGGATCATCGCCGTGCCGCAGACGGACGAGGAAAACGCGTGGTTATACAACGAGTCAAAGATTCACGACGCCTACTGTTCGCGCGGACAGTCTTCTTACTTATGGCTGGGCGCGAATGACGAGAAGCAAGAGAGGCAGTGGGTTTACTGGGGCACCGGGGAGCCCGTACCTTGGGAGAGCAAGTGGCGAGGGGACGGCCCCAACGGAGGGACGGTGGAGAACTGCCTCGTTATGCTCTCCGGTAACTTCCCCGGTCGCTGGTCGGACATTGCCTGTCTGGACACCTACTCCTTCTGCGTCCCGTGCGAGTTCGAGACGAAGACCTCGATATATCTGAAGGGCCCCGCCATGTGCGAAGGATCTCCGTTCAACCTGCAGTACATGCTGGGGGACCCCGTAGGAGGGCGACCGGCCTTAGTAGGATTCCTTCACACGGACATCTTTTGGGACCAAGAACGGGGGTCTTGGGTCATGCGTTCGCTCAAGGTGGGTCTCTTCAAGGTAGTCAGAGACATCTTATAACCTTGGTGCATCCAAAAGGGGCGTATGGATACATAACTACCTTGGTTCTTGTAGTTCAGGGATTCACAAGATCTCGGACAGTTGACTTTTCCGTGCTTAACCTAGTAATATTGGTTCCATACAAGGCATATGCGTATTATATATATATATATATATAATACGCATATATATATATATATATATATATATATATATATATATATATATATATATATATATATATACATATATATATATATATGTGTGTGTGTGTGTGTGTGTGTGTGTGTGTGTGTGTGTGTGTGTGTGTGTTTGTGTGTAATTTTCTTCTTTGTTTGCATGCCTGTATGTATTTACGGCAGTATACAAACCAAACTGATATAACCCCCAGGCAATCACAAAATATATTATGAACTCCTTTCACGCAGAACTCAGACGCCGTGGCCACGTGGACGCCGATCCACGAGGGCTTGTATCCCTTCGGCAATCAGGAGTGGATACTGGAGACCGAGGTGTGCGGGATCCCGACCGGCGGGACCGTCAACCTCACCCTCTCAGTGTGCGGCGCCGGGATGTTCACTTGCAAGGACGGCACCTGCATTAGCCTCAAGCAACGGTGCGATCTGCGGGTGGACTGCGCGGATCAGAGTGATGAGTTTCAGTGCACGATTGTGGACCTTCCTGAGGGTTACCACATCAGCATTCCGCCTCCAGCCTCAGCGGAGAACAAAACCCTGCCGATCTATTTCACAATCAACATAATCTCTTTTCCCACCATCGTGACGCAAGATCTCACCTTCGTCGCGTCCATGCACGTGAAACTACGGTGGCAAGACACAAGGCTCAACTTTCTCAACTTGCACGATGACCGGACGCTGAACCTACTTTCCGAAGAAGCCGTGGCAAGTGTCTGGACACCCCGGGTGTTCTTCAAGAACGCTCGTGGCAATATTTTCACCAATCTGCAACGAGGGTCGCGCGTCGAAAGCATCCGCCAGGGTGAGGCCAGACCCGGTCCCCCGAGCAGGCCCGAGGAAGGCAAGTGTATTAAGATCATAGTATGGAGGTCGACTTGAGAAAAAAAATACATCATGCAACTGCACATGTACACTATGTTTATAAAAGCAACAGCATTTCTAATGTATTTCACATTCTGATCCTAACATAACAATCAATATATAAACCCATGTCTACGCAAGACAGAAAGAGGTCACGACTGTATGTAACCTTTGTCTGAAAAAAGAGCAGTTACATGGATTAACACGATCTCCTCAACCACACCACACACACACACACACACACACACACACACACACACACACACACACACACACACACACATACATACACACACACACACACACACACACACACACACACACACACATACACACACACACACACACACACATACGTACATACATACATACATACATACACACACACACACACACACACACACACACACACACACACACACACACACACACACACACACACACACACACACACACACACACATACCCACACACAAATATATATACACATATATAGATACATCACATACTTATGATATTTTCTGTCTCGAGACCCCTCTTCTGATCTACCGCATCTCATCTATGACAGTGAACATCTATCCTGGTTACGAAAGCAGTCTGGAGATGAGTCAGTTATACAGCGTAACTTATTCCTGTGATTTCGAGCTGCTCATGTTCCCATTTGATGCTCAGGTGAGGTGACTGCTAAAGGTTGTCTTTGTTCATACAGTATTATGTTTATTATTCACCGTCCATTCTGTGATATTCGTTATGCTAAAACGGTTACGTTAGGCCCCGATTGTTATATAATACGAAATTCTGTCATCTCTAGCTGTGCCGTCTTCACTTCGAGTTGGTGTCGGCTTCCTCGTCGTATATGACTCTCATCCCGTCAGAGGCCAACTACACGGGTCAAGATGATCTCATTGAGTATTCCATTGGTATAAAAACTCTTAATGTTACTGCTTAAATTACTTCTACTAATATAGATAAGAAAATGATCACTTTATCGTATCACTACTTATGGATATCACTCAAAGGCCGTCAGAGAATACACAAGTCAACATTTCGGTCGTGGAGAGCAAAGCCTGTTTCCTTCAGGTGTCTCATGAAACCCTTTGATAACTAACAGAATTCAGTGCCAAAGAACTTCTCGAAATTTAGGAGTATGTAGAGAAATCCACATCCAATTAAATTCAATTTTCAGTGAGGTATAATGTGACATACTTAGCCCTTCTTATGTTAATACACGTTTCCCCTTATCCAAACCTCCACAGAACAGTCGAAAAAATAGTTCTTGTACCACCAAAAGGCAAGGTTGCAACTTACTATTTGTGAATAAATGCTCAACATAAATGACTGGTGGACTTGTTTGGAATAGCCTGAATTAATGTTTTAGATGATTTACTATGTTTTTTATTACTTTTGCTCTCGATATTCTCACTACTTTGTTAAGTATTCAAAACGAGCATTACTATTGGTGGCACCTGTTTCAGAGCATCATGGATGGATGGTAAAACATTTTCTCTTTAACTTTCATATGCATTTTTTTGGCTGTCACATTTAATATGGATGAGGTATAGCAGGCATGAAAAACTATGCATCTAATTTACTTTCTATTTGAGGACATAAAAACAGCAAGCATTACTATGAAATGGGCAAACTAGTGACTAGGTTTTTGTTAGTAACCAGGATGGATCCAAGTGGCATTTTACCATGCTTGCCATGCCTGAAAGCATTCACCTTGGTTATTTGTCATTTGAAATAATGAACATAAACAGTGGCAACTTTACTCCTTTGTATGGCTCACTAATACTAGTGTTATGGAACAAGCATTTGATCAGATTAAAGATCTTTTATGTTTCTCATTCAAGGACACTTTATATGTATATGATTATGCATTTGCAAATATGACTATCTATAAGTTCTCAGTGTAACTTGGGTTTTTCTCTATCACAGGGAAAGTGTCTATCAAAATGGATGAGGGAGGAGAGTTCTCATCAATAAGTGTGTATGTGAGGTTCCAGCGTCGCTATGTCTTCTACCTACTCACACTCTATATACCATCTACATTACTGATATTCATTGCCTATGCAACATTCTTCTTCAATCCCCAAGACTTCAATTCCCGTATTGTAGTGGCTCTTACATCACTGCTAGTGCTGTCATCTCTTTACACACAGGTATGCTGCAACCCATATTCTTCTTTTTACATCCAAGTCAGCTATATTGATCATTTACTTTGACATATATGTATAGTATATTTATAGTATTTGCAGCAGAAGAATATGTAATATAAGTCTGTAATTATACATACATTCATAAATATGCTCACTTATGTTAAATTAAATATTAAAAGTTAATGAAATGGCTTCCAGACTTCCAACTCCCTGCCAAAGACATCTTACTTCAAGCTAGTGGACATATGGCTATTCTTCTCTATAGTGATGATCTTTATTGTAGTACTGCTTCAGACATTAATAGATTTCTCTGCTACATTTACAAGAAAGAACTTCTTGGTTAGTATCAGTACTGTTTTTTTTTCTTCCCTTTCTTTGAAAAATAACTTTACTAGTTCATTAATTTTTGCTCAATATCTTTGAATATACATTTTAATTCCAATACAAATATCTAACTAATACAGTACACCTTGCTCCTCAGAGAGTTTGCTGCACTGGATCTTCTGAAATGGATAAATCACAAGCAAATATAAGTCATGATAGTGCAAGACATAACATTACCAAGGTTGTTGTATCTAATAACATGAGCAATGAAGAACATCACCGCAGAGCAATGACTAATGGGTGGACGCAGGATGAGTCAGCATTGCCACTGAGATACAGAACTCCAAATGTTTATCCTGTCAATATACCCCTCATGATCAAGAGCAGATTCCTTATACCATTCATATTTTCCATATTCAACATGGCTTATTGGGGTTCAGCATTGACGTGAGTTTCAGCCATCTTATGCATATATCTAAAACTACACACCTATAAATAAATCTGTAATCTAAGCAATGAATATGAAAAAACACAGTAGCTTGCTATTTTTCCCCCAAGGTATAAAGAGAATTATAACATGCTTAAAAAATGAATTTTTCATCAATCATAACTTATATTTACAGATACCTGCACAGTATAGAAGACTAAAGAACTAAGAAAAACATGGAGCTCCAACTGCAGTAGACGACTACAGCATAAATATATAGTATACTCACTCTTTGTAACTTTAGGTCTATCTGCATATTAATTTTGCTTAAGACACCATAAGTATACCAAATAACTGATCTAAATTAGTACTTAGCCAGTAGATACATTTACATGCAATTTAGGTGTTTACTCTCAAAGCCTAAGATGATTTTGTGATAATTAGTATATGATTTAAGCAAACAGTAACTTATAATATTGTGGAATCAGTAATAACAGAGAACAAAATGGCAGGAATTTCAGTTAGTGTTAATCATAACATACATATATATATATATATATATATATATATATATATATATATATATATATATATATATATATATATATATATATATATATATATATATATATATATATATATATATATATATATATATATATATATATATATATATATATATATATATATATATATATATATATAAATATGTATATACACACACACATGTATGATTTAAGCAAACAGTAACTTATAATGTGTAATCAGTAATAACAGACAACAATATATATATATATATATATATATATATATATATATATATATATATATATATATATATATATATATATATATATATAATATATATAATATATATAATATATATAATATATATAATATATATAATATATATAATATATATAATATATATATATATATATATATATATATATATATATATATATATATATATATATATATGTATATATATATATATATGTATATATATATATATATATATATATATATATATATATATATATATATATATATATACACATATATATACATACATACATATATATATATACATTATATACACATATATATTTATGTATATGTATATGTGTATGTATATATATAATATATATGTATACATATGTATGTGTACATATATGTATATATATACAGTATGTATATGTATATGCATATGTATACAAACACACATATACATACACACAACACACATATATAGCTATATAAATCTAAATGAAAGTAGAGTTTT